TAAAGTAGATTATTAATTTATGGGTTAAGACGGAAAGTTATTAACTAGTAGCACAAAGTTCCACCATAACTAGTGACTTCCGCCGTGCATAGGCTTTCTGCAGGCCTACTGCAACGCCTAGCTTTCGATATATCATGCATAATTGCAGGGTATGGTCTTTCTATGCTGGTATTAGCTAGCAATTTAGCGGGGAGCTAGTAGTACTGGAAATATATCTGTCGAATCTATAAGTCAGAGTGGATGCTGATTTGAGTCAGCGCTTAGGTTCATATCAACCTGGATCTCTGCTATTCCGAGTAATACGTTTTGGTGGCCGAAGCACGTCATGGCTGGCCTTGTCTTCCGTGCCCTCACCGCTATCACCAAAGCTTGTCAGATTTATCAAGTTTCTGACTACGAGGACTAGGAACATGCGTCCTAAGTGCAGGTTTGCAGATCAGCAGATACAGGCAGGCTGATTTGGCTGGACTGCATGGCAGATTTGGGGGTTTTACGAGCAGTGTAGCCGTTCAGGTCTATCAGTTTATTTTATAAAACTTGTGTCCGATCGAACGCCCTGCTTGGGTTTTGGATGGCCAATGACTGCCGGATTTGCAGGTGGGCGAGTGTGCCTACTTAAAGGCTCCTAGACTCCCTGAACACGGTTAACGTCTTTGTTGGGTTTTCCGTAGGTAGGGACGACGGGACTACCCTTGTACCCTTGTATTTGGAATGTGGTTGACCTCGAGAGAGCTAGCTGGGCAGAAATTCCGTTCAATAGGGGCGCATCTTACTCTAGAAAGTATCTTAGTTGAGTGAGGTGTTTCCTATACCGTATCAAAACCTGGGTGAGAAAACAGGCATCCAATATTTGCAATAAGCATACCAGATGGGAATATGTGCCTACCATCCTCCTCTTTTTTCCTGAGATTCCCGTGTAAGACGCCCAGATTTTCTATTTCAGTGGTTTCGGCGAGTACGTCTTTCCTGCCCGGTGAAGCGCAGATCAGCAGATAAGCTTCCTTGTACAGCTCTCCCGGCCATCTACCTAAAGTTGTTTATATTAGAAAAGAGTAGAATTCACCCACTTTTCCTTGGAAAACTATTGTTTATAGCCAAAACACTTACTGTTTTATCCTTTTTTATCATCCCCCAAAGAAGATGAGGAAGAAAGTTCAAGGACATGGACCGAGTTATATTGAGACTGACGTTTCGGACACTCGCTCGTTTCTATCGTCAGAGTAACGTGGTGGTTGTTCCTGTTTGCCGGGACTGTTTCAGCCTCGCTGCATGCCTGTTATTATATCCGTGTTCGGCAGACGAACTTTGAGCTGCTTGTTCTCTGCTGACTGCCCGTGAGATTGACCGCTGGGGGACTCGTGTGACCTCTGTCCCCTTTGCGGCTGTCGCAACAATTACGACTACATTGGTTGCAGGAGTCAGTGCCTACAAACAGAATATGACCTAATAACAATGCTCGCGTTAACGTACTACGCAAACGCGAGCTACACGCGTGCTTGCTTGTCACTGGTTGGGAGAACGACGCAATCGACAGATGATCGGCTTATTGATTCTTTGGCATGCTCTCGCGCGCGGCGCCGCGTCACAATGGCGTCTGTGCGGACGCCATTGTAACGCGGCGCAATCTGCTGATAAAACGTGCAAGCGAGCTCTCGTTACTGTGACTGCAAATCCGGTAACTCTATTTTATTTTGCTGTTTTCTTCAGCATGTGGAAACCACCATCAGAGAAAACTTTAAGATATCTTAAAGATACACGGGAAATTGAGAAAGAAGCAAGGGGAATGACTAGATTGTCAGACTCTCTTGACTCTTCTTGCAGTTACTCATTTGACGAATCTGAATGATGTACAACTTCGTTGGACGATGGCAGTACCTGGAGTTATTAATCATCGGAGGAAATAACAGAACCCTCAACAAGCAACGTTACCGGGTACCCAGCGATGGGGAAGGAGGAGACTCTAAAAAGTGCTTTGCGGTCTTGGGCAATAGACTGCAACCCCCGATTAAACAGCTGACAAAACTACTCATAATTTTGATACGTGTGGCCCCCGACCTACCAGGTGAGGGACGTACGCTTCTGGGGAGAAAAAGCACCCGGACAAAGGTGACGGCAATGGGCAGCGGTGAGTCCACATGGGGCTTGTTAAAAAAAATTAAACACGCAGATAAGTCAATATTCCATGCCTATTGTGGGAAATGAGATAGTAATATATTTAGCTATTGATGGATTGTCTTTATATCGTAAAAGTAAGTGTGACTTG